TTTTTATATAATCAATAGTTTAAAAGATCCAAACATGGAACTACCAAAGATACAGTCAACTCTTAAATAGCCAGAGATGGCATATTTAAAGCACAAAGTAGCTGTGCTGCACAGATCCTAGCACTGTGCATAGCTGGTACAGCCGGCTTAGTGTTTCAAACACAAACACCTCTCAGATCCAGCTGCATTACATGCATGCTTAGTTCATGTCTAGAAGTTGCCAGTTCTGAGCTAAGTTAGTCTCAGGAGTCCCTCAGTTTTCTCTTCACGAATGTCTGTTTTGACAGCCCTTTATTATAGGGTAAACCGATTTTTTTTTTTTTTTTTTGCTTTGGCTAAAGAGGCAGAAACCTCACCTTTTGTATGTTAGACATTTAAAAGGATGTCAGAAAAAATGAATTGGGAACAGATTGAGAGTACATTCAACAGGAGAAAGAGCTGTATTGTTAATGTGTGTTCTGTGCTTTTTCTATGCCTGTCATTGTGCTTCACTGTTATTACCCTTCACAAAAAGGCAGAGTTGCATCTTTTTGTCCCAATGCATAACTCCACATATTTACCATTTCTTGATCCACTTTTAGACATGAACTTCTGGAAGAGGCTCGGAGAAAAGGTTTGCCTTTTGCTCAGTGGGATGGACCAACGGTGGTGGCCTGGCTGGAGGTAAGTGTTGGCCATAACTTGAAAATGTGATTCGCATTTGTGGACTGCCTCTGTGCACTTGTCCTTACAAATCTTAAAACAGACTCCTACAGCTTCTTCCTCCCGCCTGTGTGCTGTGCCATCAGCACACACATGGTGTAAATTAAGAGACTAGAGCTGAAAAAAGTAAGACAGAATTACACAGCGGGATGAAGACCAGAAATGCACTTGAATCCCAAAGTTTTTGAATCTTTTAATTACTCAGTCTCTAAATGTCTAGGAACTACACAGATATTTTATGTAGAATAATGTGCTAATTTTAAATAAATGTGAAGTAATTGTAACATGGAGTGCTCTTCTGACAAAGTCTGAGGAGGGGAAAATTCCCAGTTCCCCTGCAAAGAACATTCTAAATTTGACTGTCTGTATAATGCTTTTCATGATCCCCCAAACCCTTTCTGCAAATGCTTTCTGCATTTAAAAAATATAATGGGAAAAAAGTATTCCTCTCACTATTTTCACCTGCAGTGCAGGAGATCCAGGTTGAAATCTCTCTGATTTGACAGGCAGTGCCTTCATATCTGAACTCCAGTGTGCAGAGAGCTGTCCTTTATTTGGAGGACCTAAATTAATAGTTTTTGGAAATCAATAAGGAGAAACATTCAGCAAAGCTTTCATCAATTTTGACAAAGTAATCAAATTTTTAGGTGAAGGAACTACTCAAAAAAAAAAAAAAAACATACGCAGATGCTGAGGGGAGAAGGCCACAGAAAGTAAGAATGTTCTTATACAAATCCACAGTCACTTTTACATGGCAAGGCTGTAACACTTCAGTGCAGATACAAACTCTGTTGTCTCAAAGAGTAAGTCAATTCCTTACTATACCAAGCATCTCTACCTATTCACAACTTTTCACCCTGCTTTATCTATCATCCATTGATCATCAGTTAGACCTTGGAAAGTTTTCCCCTTCAATGGAAAAAAGAGATCCCTCTCCAAACCTTTGACAGAAGTATGCTAGTGAATAAATGAAAGCAGCTAATGTCCACAAAATTTCTGCTTCACATTGGAATTGCTGAAGGTACCTAATGAAAAATACAAAATGAAAACCGCAGAAAGTCAATACAAGCATTTATATATGACCTTGGAAAACAGGATTATATCCTAATTCCCAAAAAAATCTCTGTTAATATGGAACAATCCTTAATTTTGCCACTACTTTGCTTTTTCATATGACTTTAAGAGTTCTGTAACCAGATTTATATCAGTCAGAAATATTTAGTATTACAGTAAAGGCTGATTTGTTGGAGACATGAACATACAAAAGCCTATAATTTTTGCATACCAATACCCTCGTCTTTCAAGGAGATTTGCAGTTTCAAGCAATTTTTGACAAGTTAAGCCTTATTATTTTTCCCCTTGATTCTTTTCTGAAAAATAGGATATGCTTCCCACTGTCTAAGAGAGGGGCTGTAAAGAGAAATCCAGTGCTTTGGATGAAATGTCCTTTCTCTTGACAGCTCTGGCTAGGGATGCCAGCGTGGTATGTCGCTGCCTGCCGTGCCAACGTGAAGAGTGGCGCTATCATGTCTGCTTTGTCCGATACTGAGATTCAAAGAGAAATTGGAATCAGCAATCCTCTTCATCGCCTAAAACTCCGATTAGCAATCCAGGAGATGGTATCGCTGACAAGTCCATCAGCACCTCCAACATCCAGAACAGTGAGTCCTGTTCAGCTAACTTTTTCTTCCCACTTCAACCTACAGGCGTCTGAAGAGAAACTTTTGTAGTACGAGAGTGGCTCTATGATAACACACACTTCACAATCAGTGAAAACTGTCTAATAAAGACTCAGAACTACCTGTTCATCACTTGCTTGATTGTTGATTGCTGATGTTTTTCTTTTATCAGACATTATTTTTTTTTAAGTCATTGTTTTGATTATCCTTGATGTTATCCAAATTGGTATCGAGCATCTTAATTGTAATTTTGCCTTTGTTTTTTGCTTTTTTCCAAATCACCTATACCAGCCTTATCAGATTGTGTTTCTCTTTGTTTGCTTGTTCTCTTTATTTCTTTCTTTGGGTGGAGGGGAAGCAGGTGTTAGGAGAGGTCATGTAGGAACACAGCTCTTTTGGTCTTTTTCCCATTCCCCCTTTTTCCACGCTTTCAAATGTTATCTAATACAAGTCAGTTGGCTTTAGGTTTTTCATGCTTTTAAGAGAAGCAGTGATTGGAAGTGTGAGGGAAGTGTCTGGAAAGTAGAAGTGGAGCCTATGTATTCCATGAAAAAGGAAGAGAAAGTGGTGGCAGAAAGGAGGGAAGCAAGTAAAGATACACAGAGATAGAAGTCTGAAAGGAAAGGGGAATATATCAAAAAGAGCAAGGAAATAGATCAGGGGAGAGTAAGAATGAATAGGCTGTATATAAAAAGCAGGGAAAATAGGCTAAACTGATGAGGGCCAAAAGAAACAGGATAAAAAAAGCAAAGTTTTTAATGCCGATGGTAATGGTGATGCAAGAAGCAATGGAGACTAACAAAAAAGAGGCTTGATCAGACAGCAAACATGGCATAGAAGTGGAGGACAAAGACTACTACACAAGTAGTGTAGCTCAGATTTCTACTAGAAAGGCAATAATAATGATTATGTTAATAATATTTATATTTTGTAATATTTTTTCTTCATTGAATTTATAGCGAATCTTTTTGTGGAATTTAGAATTCAGATACCTTTGTGAGCTACATAAGCAACTGGGAAACAGCAATAATACTGCTATTGCTTGCCCTTTTATCTTCATGTTGCTTATGTTCTTTAAATATGGTAGTTCACTCTCTGATACTTTCTTCTCTGAAAGTGAGTCATTACCATGGTAATATTATGAATTGTAATGGATTTTACAAAGGTAAAGTAGTAAAGACTCAATATGATGTTTGAATTACTACACAAAATTATTTTTTATTTTAAAAGCATAAGAGGATATTTCAAAGTAAAAACATTTACACTTATGAAGTGTAAAGAGAGAATACTATGTTAAAGCTAAAAACATTGAGAATACTTTTGTCTTGCTTTTTTAATTCTGCCTGGGTATCAGAGGTGCCCTGCCCTAGAATGTGCATTTCTGAGTCTCCAGTCTTGCTGCTTCCCCTCTTTCTCAGGAAAGGAGTTAATTTATCTCAGGTCTCCAGACAACATAGCACACATCCATGCTCCCTCCCTGACCCTCCTCATTGTCCTAGTAATTATTTGATGAAAAACAATAGGATGAAAATGAATAATTTTAGAAGTGAATTCTCATGATATTTTGATTTACAGAAACATGGGAGAAGTATTAATTGTTTAGATTACAATATGGACATGTGACTTGTGCTGAATATTTAGGCTGGAAAATCTTTGGGAGGTGAAGCTTAGCGCACAGAACTGTGAGCTAAAGGTTGCATTTGCCAGTTATTTACGAAATGCAGCTTTAATTATTATTCTTTCCTTTGTGGCAGTGGTCTGCCAGATTTCATCCATCAGTTCTAGTTGTAATACTCCATTCACATCTGTTCAGAAGCTGCTAATGAAAGATACAAACCAAGTTGTCTAAAGTTGTCTCTAGTTGCAGCTCGGTAGAGGCAAGAACGTGGTTGTGCTGATGGTGATGCGCTGATAACTTACAGTGGTGCTGCCTTTCTTCTTTACCACTGCTTACCTAACGTGGATCCCACCTGCCATCCTGCGGGCCTTGTCTGTAGCCCTCAGGCAATGTTTGGGTGACCCATGAAGAAATGGAAAATCTTGCTGCTCCAGCTAAAACGGTTAGTTATTCCATTTCCACTTAAAATGGTTTTAGTGCTCAAACGAGGATGGGCCTTATCCTGCTTTAACACAGGTGCCATATCTTCTCTAGGATGCGTCCCAAAGCATGCCATTAGAAAGCTGCAGGGAGTAAGGAAATTGAAATTAAAGAACAGTTATGTAATCTTTCAGCAAAAGAATTTACAAATGGTATTTCCATCACAAAAATTGCGTCACCTTAAAACCAGTATTGAACTTTTAGAATATATAATAGTTTCAGTGCCACTGTGAAACCTCATTTAATGAAATTAAATTATCACTGTTACAGGTGCAACATTTCCCCTGTAATTTACTCCCTCTTCTTCTAAAGAGTGTTTTGTATTTGCTGACACATAAAGAAATAAGGCTTGAGAGTGGTGCATTAAACAACTTCAAGTTTTCATTAATGCTGAGCCTTTCTTGTACATACTTGGGTATTAATGATCTTTGATTTCAGGTGCATGGAGAGTGTAATTTATTTATTGATTTTTGTCAAACCTCTCCCTTAACACTAAAGACTGTTTTTTGGGTTTTTTTTTAAATTTGGAATATATGTTACTTTAGGTTTTGGTTGTTAACATTAGATCATAACTTCATAAATGTGCTTATGAAACATGATGCAATGTTCCAGTGAGAACTCTGAAAAAAATGATCTTCAGTTTGGCAAACTTCATAGTCAGCCCCATCCATAAATGGTGGGAGAGGTTCTGGAGCTAAATTTTGATGTAGTAAAGAATTATTTCTTCAAAGTTCATGCTTGTAGTATTTAATGTTTTCCCATCAGCAGTAAGGAAGCCAATTCTCTTTTTTTTTTTTTTTTAAGCTGAGCTCATTTCCAGTTTTATTATTCTTGGTAAAGACAAATGCAAATATAACAGCACTGAAGTGACAAGAAGTAGAGTTGATCCTGTTTAACTGGCCAGCTAGAAAATAGAATTTTTCCATAAAAAATGTTATGCAAAAAGCTCCTTTACAATACTTTCTCAAGAAGAAATCTTTTTACTGCTAATGTTTCAAAATCAAACTAGAAACAAAAAATTACATCTCTAATGCCCAAATTTTTAGCTAAATTTTGTATTTTAATTGTGAAACTGAGAAGAATGTTTAAATAATGCTGTAAAATTTCACCAAGATATAATGATTTTCTCTCTTGAAAATTCATATTATGGTTTTGGTCTTATAATTTTCGGGGTAGTTTAGCCCAAGACATTGCCACTGGCCAGATTTATTTTATTAATGCACTTTATATGTATATTTTAATTAACATGCATTTGAAAATCACAACTTTTTATAACTAATTTTTATTGTCTTTTTACCTGCTTTACTAATTGCTTCCTGCTGATAATACAGAAAGAGTCTGAAGAAGGCAGTTGGGCTCAGGTATGGTCATTCACGTGACTTTTTTAAAGTGAAAATGGATAACAATGTAATTGGGTGCATCAGTATGCACAGTGGAATATAATATTGTGGCAGTATTTCAATGATTGAACTATGATTTACGTATTTAAGAGTTCTTCTCAAAGAATATATTCTCTGAATATTTTTTTAGGTAAAGCAGAAATAGGTACATATGTTGTGAATATTTTTCACAAAAGAATTTACTACATTCCAGAGACATATCCTATCTCCCATCTAAAATTGCGTTAAGAGTTTTAAAGAGTAAGCATTTTCCTCATTTTTCAGAATAGGATAGTTAAATATGCCATGAATTTGAGAGCTAAGCTTTCTAAAATTAATTTTAAAATTTAAATTAAACTCTTTTTTTTTAACAATTGTGTAAGTCACACCCAAGTTATCAGTCTACAAATACTATTGTATAAGTTATTTAGAACTACCAGTTAGCTGTGTTTTTAAACTTTTTCTCTCTAATATATACACACTTACACAATCTTGCTACCTTTACTGATTAAATTCATTTTCTCTTCAAAATCTAAAAAGAATGAGATGTAAAGGGAGCATATTTTCCCTCACAGATAATATATCCATCTGGCTTTAATTGTGTTGTTAATTTGTTTAGGATATTAAAAACAAAACCAAAGAGATAGTTAGGCTTGACAATGATCCTGAGCATGATCCTATTAAGGAGTGTAAATCTTGCAATTTATTAGTTCTCAATTCTTGTTCTCTGTTTTGTAATACAAAATAATTAACAACAGTGAGATGTAGAAATCTATTTTGCATCTTAATAAGGCAACTCATATAAAAGTAGCTCCAGATGCATGGCTTTTTCATATAGTCCCTTCCTCACCCTAGTGAAATTTTAGCTGAACAATGAAGCCTGAGTATTAGTTTCTAGGAGGAATCTGGTTTGCTCCTATCTCAATTAATTGCTTGAGCTCTGCATATGATGGATTTAGGTTTAAATTGTTCACAGCTGAAAATATCTCATTTAAATAATAGCCTGAGTGTCAGACAACTGAAATTAACTTTTAGTCTCTAAAGGACTTCAGGTATGTAGCCATGAAGTGTCATTAGATTTTATTTATTAAATTCTTCTCCCCACAAACAGAAACAAGCCTCAGTGGATTATCTGGAGCCATGTTTGTATTACCAGTTTACAGTTCAGGGTTTGACTAGTATAAATATTCTAGAAGGTCAATTGAAAGCAAGTAAGATTATGAAACACACATATTTTCATTGTACAACAAGTCTGCTTGCATTTAAAACTCAAAATTGAAAAAAAATTACATAAGAAAACAAAATACAACAGGCAAAACAGGCTGTCCATAACAAATATCTCACAGTGGCTCACTCTTCCAGTGTTAAAACAAAGCAAAACCAGAATTACTAATTTATTTTAGACATAATTTTTTAAAACATTTTTTTTTTCTTTTGGACATATTTTTTCAGTCTGTGGTGCAGTCTTGAAAAAACTCAAGAATTTTTTCCCCCTCTCCATTTTCTTCTCTCTGTAGACCCTGGCTTATGGTGATATGAACCATGAATGGATAGGTAACGAATGGCTCCCCAGCCTGGGTTTACCTCAGTACCGAAGTTATTTTATGGAATGCCTGGTAGATGCAAGGATGTTAGACCACCTGACAAAGAAAGACCTGCGTGTGCATCTAAAAATGGTGGATAGTTTTCATCGGTATGTTGGCATAAAGACTACACCCATCAAAATGCTTATGTGTCTGCTCTAGTGCTCAGTGTTCCACAGAATAAAAAAACTTTCTGTTGTTTTGGTGTGGAAAAACATACAGAAAAGAGAGAGCTGACTATCAGAAATCTGAATTGAGAGAGATTTCTTTAGTAATAGCAACCACATTGCAATTATGTCTCTAAAAACCAAGATACTGGTACAGATAAATTTTGTATTGAGCAGGGAACCATTAATATATCAATAGACTCTTGACAATACAGAAACGGTAATAATTTAAGTGGTGTGAAGTATCAGAAAGTGTTAGACTAAGCTTCAAAGCCCTGAGATCTCATAATAATGAAAAGCTATTGTGTGTAGCACATAAAAGCTGTTAACAATACAAGCAATTTGACAGTTGTTGGGTTACCTAGGGATATAGCTAGGAAGCTAAATTGGAAATATGGAAATAAAGGCATTTAAACTTTAGGGAGAATGAGGTTTATGTGACAAGAAGTGGATTTCTTTTTAATATACTGTCTGATTTGTCACTTTTTAAAAGCCTGATTTGACAAAACATTTCATGGCTCACAAGGGCTGACCTTTTCAGGTCTTTTACGTCTTTTAGTGCTTTGGGTTTCTTATGCTAAAACAGTTATTCAAACATACTCATTTTGGTTTTTTCCATTTCATTCCTGAAGTCTGTGGAGTTTTTTTACTGGTTTTGCTCTCCCCTCTGTTCTCAAGATTTCATACATGGGTACTATGAAACACCTCATGTGAAGTGCAGGAAATACATCCTACATGTGTTCCCATCTTCAAAATTATCTTTATTAACTCTGTAAATGTTTCTTTTTAAATAACAGAACAAGCTTGCAATATGGAATCATGTGTTTAAAGAGGTTGAATTATGATAGAAAAGAACTGGAAAAGAGAAGAGAAATGAGTCAGCATGAAATAAAAGGTGATAGTTCCTGGGAATGAATACTGGGAATGTTTCTTCTTTTGAAGATTGACACTGTTAACTCATTGTCATGCCATTTAAGCATGTGCTTTAAGCAAAACTAACTTAAGTCCATCTTTCTTCAGAACAAATCCTATCTCCTTAAATTAGGCACAGTTAAGTACTTTGCTAAATTGGGGCTGCAATTCTGAATGGTGGTTTTACACATACATTTTGCTAAATTGAACTTTGGATATGGATCTTACCTGAGACTCTTTCAGGCGTAGAAACAGAAGGCCAAACAGTGTGCAGCTTAGTGCAATGTGCTGGGGGCAACACTAAAAAACTGGGAGCACTCAGGACCCTAACACTATGCCCCAGCTTTGAAAACCTTTGCCTTTGATTTTTTATGTCAGAATTTATGATAAAATGCTGCTTGGAGGGTTGACCATGCAGTTGATTGCTACATAAGAATAGTTCCTAACAAAACTGGCCTTAGTAGAAGATTTCACAGCTGATTCTGAAGATTTTTTTTTCTGTGTAAATCTCTCTAGAGCAGTTGCAGGCTCACTGCATGGTTCTTTTTATATATAACAATTAGGGTGGCTGGGGTTTTTTCAACTATCAGAAATTAATCCTTTGATTCCTTTGAGCTTTTCCAGCTCTAGTGACTAGTTAGCACTTCTAAAGAACAATGCTGATTAGAAGAGCTTAAAAAAAAAAAAAAAGTTGAAGGGCTACAGTTGACAGTGTTTATTTGCTCAAGGCACATCATGGCATGCACTAATGCAGAGACTTTGCCTTGGACGTGCAGGCATCAGTGCCAGTCAGCCCAAGTGGGTTTAGCTGGAGACTGACATAGGAAAATTGGGTATTGGTCTCAAATTCGGCTGTGGCTTCAGTGCCGGTTCTAGCTAGGACAAGGGTAATCATCCATAGCCTCCTTCACCTTGTTGTGCATCTGTCAGTTATTCATGGTCCCAGGTGGGATTTGGTCTCTGCCTGCCACTGTGTTTCAGCTGATCCAAAAAGTGAGATGCTCTCAGCCAGGTGCTGGAGAAATCCTGCTCCCAGAACAGCCATAGCAGCTGGACTTGTAAAGGCTCAGGAATAAGCCTCAACACTTAGCAAAAAAAACTCAGTACTATGTCTCCCACTTACAACTCTAAAGATCAGTATAAGTAACTTTTTTTTATCTTAAGGGCAGGGCAGGATACTTTTTCAGAATAGCCAAATCCTCAAAAATGGTTTCCTAGCTCATTTTGTTGCCTTAGCTTTATAGTTGGTATGGACCTTAGGAACTGCCAGCTTTCTGTACTAAAAATAGTTTGTCTCTAAAATTGTGCACTAATCTTGTACTTTCTGGCATGTTAGTATGTGATGGGTGCTGACACAACTCCCAAAATGTTTAATACAAAACTCACAAGTGAAGCCTTGAGGAATGGATACTTCTCTGGTGTCTTTGCACTGTAAAATCCTGCCTACAAATTGAAAAGGTATATATAGGAAGTGGGAGGAATTGCATTATGGAGATCCCCTCTGGAAGCAGGGATTTCTCCTTTGGAAACATTATTACTTGAAGATAATTCATCACGTAGTTTTTGAGTAGGACATACTAAAGCTGTATGAATAGCGCTGGCATTCCTCATGTGTGAAATAAAGCACTAAGACACCACAGTGCATGCACAGCTACACACATGCACCTGCAAAATTTGGGAGTTCTCAACAGAAGACTGACCTGGTGTAATGTCCTTACAGATGTGCTGGTATGGAGCAATGATCGAGTCATACGCTGGATACAAGCCATTGGCCTCCGAGAATATGCAAATAATATTCTAGAAAGTGGTGTACATGGTTCACTTATAGCACTGGATGAAAACTTTGACTACAGCAGTTTAGCTTTATTATTACAGATTCCAACACAAAACACACAGGTAAATTTGCTTATGCTACTTCTGGTTAATCTGTACCCATTATTACCTTTTATTTATCTTCAACCATTTTAATTGTTTACTTTGGTATCTCTAGGCACGGCAGATCCTTGAGAGAGAATACAACAACCTTTTAGCACTAGGAACTGAAAGACGACTTGAGGAAGTAATTAATTTTATTTTCAGTATTTATAAAATATCATAGTAAAACATTAAAATTCAATTGAATGCATGAAGACAATTTTCACATTGTTAAAGAAAGTCAGTTACAGTTTAAAAAAAAAAATAGGAATACCCATCAGGGTTTTTAAAGTAACCCATCTTGGCTACATATTTGTGTCATCTCAGATGCTAAATTTGACACTGCACTCTTACCTTAAGATGAACATTTTCCAAAGAGGAAACATACAGAATGGAAGTTTTGCTGGCCAGAGCAGGTGGTGGGGCATGTGTGTAGGTGGGATGCCTGTGAACTCTATTCTTTAGGAGACTTACACTTTTTTAAAAATAAAGAAAAAAAATAGATTTTTCAGTTTGTTCTTTATTGGTTTTTTTTCTTCAAAGTTAATCAATATTATTGGAGTGTGATTTGGGGCACTTATCTGGGAAAAGAAATCTCAAATCCAACTACGGAAATTATTTATCTTAACATAAGAGTCCAGTGCAAAATGTTTAAGTCTTGGACTTCTGCACATAAGGAGAAATAAAACTTTTAAGGATTTTCTGAAAATGTCAAATGCCTATGAATTCTGTGCATGTACATGAGTGTTTAATCCTTTCTTAGTACTTTGTAAGCCTCCTAATGCAGTAACAAATCATTTTCTGTCACTGTGTAGGAAAGTTCTACTTTAGCTGATACTAAATCCTTGACTATATCGAGCCAAAGATTTAAGAAGAGTTTTCCACCCCAGCATTTAATATTTCTCAAGCTTTTACTCTTGCAAGCATGTCTCAAATACATTACAGTGACAGGATGCAGTGCAACAGAGCAGGGTAGTTTTTACGGAATACATTTGGCAGCGGTAGAGATAGCACACAGCAGGATAGTTAATCAGAAAGCTTCGTTTTGCTTTATCAAATACAATGCTGTGTTGACAGAGCGATGACAAGAACTTCAGGCGCGGCCCCTCCTGGCGTCGGCAGTTCCCCCCGCGCGAGGTGCACGGGATCAGCATGATGCCGGGCGCGTCGGAAACGCTGCCGGCCGGCTTCCGGCTCACCACCACATCCGGGCAGTCGCGGAAGATGGCGAGTGACGGTACGAGCTCATTTCTGCACTTCCTCTTGGAAAGCATGAGGCTCGTCCTAGCGTGCCAAATTGATTTTTAACGCATGTCTGTTTCACACCACAACAATTGCGTTCATTTAACTAGGATGAACTGAGTCTGGGAGAGTTGAATTAGGGAATGGAAAAGTACTGACTTGGCATATTATTGATTTTTTTCCGGTTTGCTTCAGACTGACATTTGCTTCAGACAGTGTTTATTTAAAATAAAAAAAAAAAAAAAATATTGGCCATCTCACTATCCTGTAGCTGTAAAGGAAACAATCAGAAAGACTGGAATTCATTTACTGACTTTCAACTGAGACTGAATGTAATATCTAAGCAAGTTTTCATTCTATTAGTCTCTCTAGCAGGTGGAGTGTTTTAGAGAATACAATTAGAAAGGGCTATCACCTTTATTTTCCTATCTTACTTTCAAATTAAATAGCTTAGCCTTGATCACAAAATAACTGAAGTTTCTAACAGTCACCAGTAGATGAGTAGTTAGCAAATGCCATCGACTCCTAGCTTCCATGGCCTTTCCATAGCCCACATTTATAAGAACCTTATTCCCACATTTATAAGAACCTTATAAACATTAATGAATTTCATCTTCTAGTCATGGTATGATGTAGAAGATGATATTCCCATTTTACAGATGTGGAACTAAGGCGAAAAGCAGATTTAGTGATTTACTTGAGGTCATCCAGACAGTTAATTCTTGAGTGGGTATACTAAACTGAGTAGACTTAAAGGGAAGTAATTTTGAAGACCTCTGTCTTCATCCAGGATTTGGCTTCCTATCTCCCAGCAGTAAGAATGCAATAGCCTGATAGGTAAGAGAATTTAAGCTCTTAAACAGCATTTTAAACAGCATGATAGATAAGAGCATTAGGACTTTCAACAAAATAAAGGCAAAAATGAGTTTTAAACTGTATTCACTTTAGACAGATTGCAACAGTACATCAGCTGTGAAGAAGTGCTGAGTTTTGAACTAGACCATGCCCAAATCACATTAGAGAAAGCCACAGAGCAATTTAACAGCCACCCTCCTAGTGGTAAACAGACTGATATATTTTACTGGTGATTCTAAAGAGGCTCTGGTTTGTTTCCTTCTTTTTTCCCTCCCAATTTGCAGTTGCTTCATCACGACTGCAGAGGTTAGACAGCTCAACAGTTCGCACATACTCATGCTGACAAGGCCTAGCAAAGAAGCCAGCACTGAATTGTTGTGAGTATTCTGTAGGGGCCATCATGAATGCTCTTTATAACTGTGCACTACACCCCACATTAGCCAAGCATGAACCAGCATGGAGCAGGGACATGACTAAGGATTCGCTAGGGTGGTCATTTGGTCATGACAACAGTCTTAAGCTCAGTCTAGAAGATGCTACCAACCATATTTTGGGGAGAAGGCACAGGGAATGAACTTACTTTATGAAAACTTGAAAGAGTTCTACTAGGAGCTGGAATGGGGGCAACACTAGTAAAGCAGAAGAGATTTACTTTTTTTTTTTTTTTTTTTAATTAAATCTACGGCTCAATTTAGAACAATGGGTAGCTGCATAGACTAATCCATACAGAAAATTATGAAAATTTATCTATTACCGAGATTCCTGCACTTCTCAAATAATTCAGAATTTACAAAGAAAGGATGCAACTTTGGATCAAATTTAGTAGTGGAATTCATGTTACATTTTTCACCATATTATCTTTTGAGTATGGTTATGAATATCAGAGTCACTTTTCCAGAGTTCTGTGAATATACAGTTTTTTATTTTATTCCAGCTTTTGGAAAAAATACACACATGATGAGTAGTTACATCAGTATGGCACCATTTTATGATAGTATTTTCTCGGTAAAACAATTTCCATCTAGTTACTTGGGGAATTGCAAGGCAGCTGGCAAAAAAATATTTGAATATCACCAAAACCTCATCAGGCATCAAAAATGCTTCAATAGCTGTTGGATATTCGAGGCAAGACATGCATGGTATTGTATCAGTAAGTCAGTGACAGGACTCTCACAGGGTTCAGTGGTGACAGAAGTGGAAGGCAGAGATACAAACCTTTCCTCTTCTGTACTTCAGAATCGCAATTTTGGAAGCAATAAAGATGACCAAGAAGTTCAAACACCAAACTATCTCTTAGGCCAACAGTAATGGGTCAGACACTTGAGGTGAGACTTGAAGAGTGCAACAAAGGCAGAAATAGAAAACTGATATCCTAACAAAAAATAATTTAAGATTTTCCAAACCATTTATTCCCACTATATTAAAAATTATCTAAAAAGTAGCAAAGCACCAACAAAAGTAAAGTAGCAGACTTCTCTAGCACTATATATGTATGGAAGGTATTTATTTTGAGCAAAAAGGTGTGTATATAAAGTTATACAAGCTATACAAATTAACTCCTATTTCTATTGGAGTATTAGTAGTGTTTCAGCTATCAGTGGTATGTATTACATCAGTACTTGGTGCTTAAATCTTAAATGCTTGAGTGGTCTGTAAGGATTTCAAAAAGGTATCTACATTGTAAAGGCTAATATATGAGGTTAACTGACAATATACTACTATTTCTCTTCTCACCATATACTTGTTTATAGAAGGAACAAGATGATGTGAACTAGAACATCAGTATATGCACTTACTGTAAGGGCAACTTCAAAATGCCATGCAGGTAATAAACCAAAAAGCAAGTTAAAGTAATTTTGGATTCAAGTACATTATATTGAAAATCAAAACATCCCACCCCTCCCCCTCCCCCCCAAAAAACAAACATACAGGGAAAGTATTTCCCTCACTATTATAGCAAACTTGAAAATTTAAAAAAATTGTCTGCAACTCAAGAATCAATGCATAAACAGAAGCTGCCCATAGAAGGGATATCAGATTGAAGGGCAACAGAGGGCTTTTCAGAATTTTGTCAGCACAGCTCATGACTAACAGTTTCTTATGGAAGGAGCTGATTGATACTTGGGCAAAAGGGAAGATTATTCATTACAGCACACCTCCTGAAATTTTCCAGACTTAGACCAAGACCTTCCTCTTAGACTAAGACCCAGGCTTTTGTAACACCTTGCCTAGACTACATCAGCAGCTGTGATACTCTGGTGAAGTATCTGCATGCACAAAAGCAGGAACCAAGCAACAGAGGAGAGGGATAGCTGGACAAGCTACCACACAATAGCGAGATAAGGGAGTTTTTCATATAGTAAAGGAGAACATGCCTAGGAAGAGCAGGCCTAAAAGAAAGCAGCAAACAGACTGCACATGGAACAAATGCAGATGGCCTGTGATTACAGCAGGCTGCAGATTCTTGCATTCTGCTACTCTTATGAGAGTAAGAGACATTCTCTTAAAAAGACTGTCAAAGGCTTGTCAAAACAGTTTATGTCAACATCAGTTTGGTACAACTTTCCAGTGTCTTCATAGTGTATCTTCATAGCAGCTGTATCCTGTTCATAAGCTTTCAAACTGCATCAGGTGGTTTTTTTCTTTAATATTTGTTGAAACCACAGTGAGCTGCTGGAAACCATGTGCAGACATTCTCAGAACAGTTATATGAGCGTACTCTACACAGGCCTATTTTAGCGCACTTGGTATCAGAAATTTAAGAACAATTAAGGCTGCAGGTACTGGCCATTTAATGTTGCAAAGAAATGTACTACATAGCACACAGGACCCATCAAGCTTTCTGCTGTGGTCGCTAGATGTTGTGGCCCAGCTGAGCAGCTGCAATGCCCTTACACAGGCAGTGGATTTGGCACTCACATTATCCAAGCTTTCCCAACACTTTTAACTTCTAAAACACTTGTCATTGCCAAGTCAGAAGGGTCATTCAGGACAGATTTCTTGCCACAGGCTGGAGCAACAGAACATATTACTTTAACTTTTATTCCAATAAAATACTAAAAGAGATTTCGCAAAATCAGCTATGTACTTTACCAATGAAGGGTTCAAAAGAGGATTTGTAAAGACAAATGGAGAAGCAGTGTTCCAAAAAGATGTGAATGATAGCTGGAAGCAGTTAGTCCATAGCAAAGAAACCATCAGGGTGAGAACGGTAAATGCTGTCAAGCTGCAGTGAACTAGGAAGAAGAACCACAAAGCACATCAGCAATGTCTGTACACTGAAAATGTGTTTCACCTTGTGCCAAACAGACAAAAGTCTCCAGGTGCAGGAAACAAAGCCCAGTGCTGCACCAAAACAGCAGGAAAACAACTGTAAAATGAACTTAAGAAGTAGTCTGTGTTGACTGAGGAAAATTAGTAGAAGATTAAAATTAATTATTAGCAATTTTATGTTGCAGATCTAAAGTTAAACAAATACATGCCTCCCATGAATACTAAAAAATCCATGTTTTAGTAACTTAGTTACTAAACTACTTACTTAGTGTTATATTTTCTGTTGTCTGTTTCATTTTAGATTGAATTAGAATCATAGACTCTTGCTAATTAATGGTTTGGTTTTTTTTTCCTTAGATGTCATCTCTTTCTTCTACTTTACCTGAAGTGCACTACCACTACTTAGGAAAAGAGCATTAAGACTCTCTGCAAGAACAGGTTAATAGGGAAGAGAACACATATAATGTTTATCATACAAACAGATATGATGTTCCTTTCATGTATTGTTTAGTTTAAAACATGAATAAAAAATACCTAAATTACTAATAAAAAAAGAAAAAACAAAACAATCTCCCCCTTTTCTCTCAGCATCTCTGTCATCAAAAATTTGACAGTAGTGCACATCCAAAGCTTTTATCAAATGAAGCCACTCATCTTTACATTGTTACATCTGTTTTATTGTAAAATACTAGACATTTACGTATTTACTGTGTATGTATTTCTTTTAAAAGTGTAAGTCTTATGTAAATGGATATAAATATGATTTTTTTAAAAATGAAATCTATGGTACATGGGGTCTCAGTGCAAACATTTGACAATACAGTGTCAATAATACTGTTTGTATCTTTCCATTCCACCATTTTTACAGTTTTTGGATTGTAACAGTCAAATTAATATGTTTAGCAGAGTTAGAAGCTTCAACATGTTCCTACTGAGAAAAATCTGTCAATATTTAAAGCTGAACACCTGCCTCTGATGATGTATAATAGAATGACATAACCTGGAACTGAAGCCAAATGGACCTCTAAAGACAAAATGGAAATGTTAGATACCTACAGAGAAGCACCATGATGGCTCATCTCTTAAAAACACACAAAAAAACCTAGAAGGACTGTTTCTAAAAAACTAAAAAGCAATTTAATAAAACATGATTTGTACAAAAAACCCAAAAACTTTCTTCTATGTTACCTGCGGACCAAGAAGAATCTTGCTTTACCAAGAGCCACCTTTTTGTTCCAGGATCTTCAAACACCAGCCAGCAATGAAAAAGTAAATCTAATATTTGCATAGAATCAGATTATTGTTTCCAGATATATTCAGCAAAGAAAAAGAAGGAAAAGAGAAGCCAACCCCCACCATTTCTTCATTGTAACAGGGCATTAGATAGGCTCCTGTCTAACGTTATGCTTTTAGCCAATATGGCCTTGCTGAGACTTCACAAAAGTCAGTTTTATCAGAGGAAATAACTGAAAGACAGAGTGATTAATATATAGTGTATAAAAGTTTAGAAGAGCAACTATTACCTGCTGTGGCTTTATTTGGTGGTGTTATTGTTGTTTATTCTTTGTTTAAATGGGAAGTTTCAAAGTAAGACCTACTTAATAGTCATTTACCTATTTGCTATTTTTCTGCTGCTTGATCTTAGCTCAAGACCTGTCTTTTAGTTATTTCTTTTAGCAGTTTGATCTGCAATGTTTGCACGTACATAAACATTTGTTTTGTCTATTTTTATTTGGCAAACTTCGGTCAATCAGATGGTGAAAGATTTTTCTCCCCCAATGTCAATAAAAAAGATAATTCAGTGCTATTTGTGTTCATTAGTCTATTAAATTTGGTACATAGCAGCATTAAGTTTGGAAACCAGATGCTTCTCACAGCTAAGCATAAGAACATTTTGGCACTAACAGGGATCAGTTACAATGGAGTTACTGGTGAGAGTCTGCCACGAGAGGGAGCACAGATCTTGCTGGTGGGTGCAAAGTGCTGGCAGGGGTATAGCACACAACTGGAGAAAGTCAGGGCTCCTGTACACACAGTTCCTTGGACTTGACCAACATTTTTCTCCTCCCTCAGCCTCCTTTTGGATTATTTTAGGGCAGAATATCACAAAGTAAAGCAATGCAAACACTGTCACTGCCACTGTCAGTGGCAGCTATATCATGTGAATACATATTTCCTTATAAACAGCAGCTCGTTTTATGGAATTCCTTTTGCAGCCAACACTAAAGCTTAGGGGGCAAAGGGGAATGAAGTGTGTTGGGGAAAAGAATGAACCAGATTTTATGACCAGTGAAGTTGTCCTGCCCCAGGAGTACAGCACACACAAATTATATATTTCACAGTGGAAGCAAACAGACTAGAAGAATTTAAAAGAGTATTATTGTGACTTCAGATTTGATTTAAGGGTAACATATCAAGCCTCCCAATTCATCCCTGTCTCCCTCACACAAGCTGAAGCTCTACCCTCTACAGCTAGAAACAGCAGTTATGGTAAATGTTGCCTACTTGGCTCCAACCCTTTCAGTACACTGAGAATAACTACTACATGTGCCTCTTCCAGCCAAAATTCAGCAACTCAATGACCATTCAAATCTACCCACTTGCTGCTTCTCTCTAAAAATAAAATAAAGAAAATTACTGCTGTCCTACCACCTGTTAAATGGACTTGTTCTTCTTGATGGTATACTCAGGTTGCTGGGCACCAGCAGAGCCATGTACAAGGGTAACAACTCCTCCTCCCTTTCTTGAGCTTGGCTAAGACAAAGCATTCTGCGATTGCAGTTCCTCAGCAAAAGGCTCTTTTGAAAAACAAAAGCAATGACCATTCAACAATGATTTCCCCATACTGTACTGCTGCAATAAGATGCCTTTCTTTGTCTATGTTTTCTGAATGTTGACGCATGAGACATTTGACATTTCTAGAATTCTCCACATTACCATCATGGCAGCATAGTGAGCATACCTGAATGTTCCCCCCTCTTTTAAAATACAAGTCTTGATCAGAAATAACTTCTACCAAAATAGAGAGAAAGAAAAAACAAAGATAATTGTTTCTTGCTATTATTAATGTAAGCACGTAGCCCTCCAGAAAGGTAAGTGCATGCCTAAATACCTATCACTAATGCTGTTGGGGGTTTCATGGGTTTTTTTCACCTCCTTAAATGAAGAGACACAAACTAGAAAGCATTTTACTTTTCCTTACAAATGGAGAAACTGGTGTAGGAGCATGAGCTACCATTGAAAAAATTATGCAAGGTCTAGGAAATTAATTCTCTTCTCCTACATGCATTGCAGGATCTCCTCTAGAGAATTTTTGCTCTCACTAATTAGTTCCCCTCCCCTGCTCTTGCAATTACATGATGGCTGCAACCCAGGTAAGGATAGCAAACATACACAATGTCTCACCTTCAATTGTAAAACAGTGGCCACACACCTTGTGAATGTGCCACAGTTTCTTTGTAATAAGACCCTCCTAGCGTCTCACTCATTTAAAAAAAAACCCACACCACTGACAACTCCCAAGAATTCCTTCTTGCTCTGTAACAGTGTAGCACAGATTGCTAAATTGTAGCATTTTGAAAAGCAAAAAGTCTCTGCAAGTCAGTCCTGCATCTAGCATGGACCTGCTGTTAAAGCTTTTGTACTTTAGTAATTCATCCAGAAGAAAATAATATCTTAAACTAACTGCCACTTTTATAAGAAGTACTTCACAAAAGTTTAAGGACATCGCTGATGAGCAAAATTATTCCCATTTTTAAATCTCCAACCTGTATGTTTAGCGTATCTAAAGGCATCATTAGCCTTTACTCAGCGTTTGCATGTTTTATTCCCTGTTCAGATTGTGATTTTCAGCTGAAGCAAATAGCTGAGAGGGAGGGGGGTACCTTATGCAATGATTTGGCAGGAAACAAGGACAGTGCAGGCTCAAGCTGGGCTGTTTTACCATGACTGTATGACCTGGGTAAATATCACTGGGCCAGCTGTATGCAGTCCCTAGTGAAAAACACATGGACATTTTATTCAGTTCTTATGTAAGTGACAGAGCTCACCAACTCCACAGAAGTGTCACAAGCACAAGGCACCACCACGGTATGGTTCATGTTAAGTGGAACCTATCACCTTTTAGCTCCTACATCAATTTGTTGATTTCATCACTTCACAGGGATAGCATCCTTACCTCTACCCACCACTACATAACAGTATTTCTGGACCTTTTTGGGGATCTTTCTTATATAACAATATCATCTGAATTTGCCTGTTACTTCCTGTCTCTTTCTCTGGTAAGCACTGCCGAGCCTAAGCAACTTCTCTGCTTTTATACTTTTTCGGGAGCATCTACTTTTAAATGGACTTTTGCATTTATTGTTCAATTGAATACCTGCAGTTTGAGAAGTAATGTACAAAAAAGTGTATCGTCCATCCCCTGGCTTGTTGAGAACCCTGTACATGTCTGGAATGGCCTATAAAGTCCAGAATGGGTTGCTTAGTATCAATATTTGCTAAATTTCTTGGTTATATGTCTCTCAGCCTAAAATGTTTACTTCTGGCTGCAAAAGCACATTCTGGTTGTCCTTGTCATAAGGGATACAAACCACAAAAAAATTACCAGAAAATGCAAAGGATAAATGCCTGCCTCTATTTAATACACATGGGGTTTTCTGAATATTACAGTGGACAAATCAAGATTTTCACAGATTTGAAAGCCAGGAATTATTTATCATTTTACAAAAAAGACTATTCAGAAAGTTATTGAGTAAAAAAATTATAGAAATCTAATTTATGGCAGAAAGACTTTGGGGGAAAACAAAGAAAATGTAATCAAGAGAACTTATCTTAAAATTTTAAATTTTAGAAAAAATCTAAAAGACAAGAACTTACAATTTAAAAGTAATAACAATTTATGCCTGCATCAATTTTCACAATCAAATTCCTTTTTTGCTCTCCTCTGTTCCTGGTTTTCTTTTGTAAGCTGCTTTAGCCAAAGAAAAGTTACTGGTCACATTTTAAAATAACAGATTGAAATGTAAGGTTACAAGACACCATATAAGATGAATAATACAATGATTCCTTTCTATTTGCAATTCTTAGCTATCTTAATAACCAGCATATACTGACAGCAGGCAGAGACTTTATTATGTGTCAGTGGCTGTGGCAAGATGGCAAAGAACACAGTAATGTTTCCGCACTAAAAACATTCAGTCCCAAATCATTACTTGCTTTTAAAATGTGGTACTCTAAACAAAAAAAAAAGCTTATTTGTATACTTGAATAACTGAAATACTCATTATTATATATTATCCCATTTAGTTTTTCTTTAGCAATCCTTCAATGTGTTCAAACACACTAGCATCTTCAATGGTTGGTGTTATCTGAAAAGTAAGAATACAGTAGCATGTGACAGTAGATAAGAATTTCATTTACAGATTCTTCTAAAATTATACTTCAAAAGCACTCAAGAAAAATGTATCTGTACAGCTCTGAAACATGAAAATCTTTTGGATACTCTGCAACAGAAATAAAATATAAAGTACTACCTGAAGTCATGGATCTGTTGCAGACCAGTCAAGAAAATCAAAACCACCATTTTGTGCTTTTGGATGTGCATGTGTGCCTAATTCATTGAAGCAAACATATCTAACTTACCTTGTACGGCTTTCCACTTATAAGTGCAGAAAGAGCAGAACGTGGGATCTTGCCGGAGCGTGTTTTTGGTAGCTGTGTCACAAACATCCCCTTCTGAAAAGCTGCTACTGGACCAATGTTGGTCCGAACTCGCTCAACAATCTCTTTCAAAACCTTACTCTCTTGTGTCTTTACACCTAGTGAAGAAGGTAACATCCTTTATCTTTTCTGAGTCTTTTGTGTGTTAGTGACATCAGTTATAAGTGAGTTCTTACCTTGTTTCAGTACACACAGTGCAAATGGAACATGTCCTTTTACAGGATCCTCCTGGCCCACAACAGCACAGTCTGCCACAGCGGGATGGAAGAGAATACACTGAGGGATAGAAAAGAAAACAAAACTGAACTAATAATAATAGACAACATTTCAATGAAAAAAAATGGTGTGGTATGGAGTATGGTATGGGGTATGGTGTGGGGTATGGTATGGTATGGTAGGGTATGGTGTATGGTGGTGGGTGGTGTGTGTGGTGTGGTACGGTGTGGTGTGGTGTGGTCTGGTCTGGTATAAACAAAAAACAGACTTTTTCTTACATTTTGAGAGCAAAAGGTCAGTACACCACCTTAGGACTCCAATTACATGTGTTGAAGATGTACATGTGTATACATTTTCATATATACTAATTCATGCTTTTCAAACAAACAGAAGAAATAAAAACTTTAGCAGCACAAAATAGAAATATTGAACAAACCACAGGTAATTTCCTTACAGTTTTGTGAGAGTATCACATCTTTAGTTTTGTTAGTGAGATCTTTGCTGGAACAAATAACATTTGTCTAACATTATGAGTAATGTGGTACTTAAATTCAGGGAGTAAGGACCAAAATCACAGAAGCACTCCTAAAACAGACTTTAAAAGTCCATTAGTTCATTTTCTCTGACTTTTCTTTTTCATTCTTTGTTGCTGTAAAAGCATAGTTTCAACCAAAGCCAAACACATGTCCAGCCTTGGCTTGCAGCCAGCCTAGCTTAGCTCACTCTGTGAAAACATTAGGTCTCAGCTTCCTGAGATAAAAAAGGGAATTAAACCAGCACTGCCTTCCTAACAACTACATGTTTACACAACATCACATTGATAAAATATATCAAACTCTTTTTTAGGTAAAAAAAAAGTAAGCTTCCAATTAGTCAGCTGAGGTACTCATTCCAGGAAAACAGTCACCAAGATGTCTCAGTGCATGTCACCAAGTCTGGGACAAAGCTGGCCTTAAGATGCCAGCAGTTGTGAATCCTCTTCCAAAGCAACTAGCTCTTTTAAATTTACCCCCTCACCTTGAGGTATTTTGCTGTCAACAGTGCTTTTAGCACTTTTCAGTCCTCTGAACTCAACCACAAGGAGGACCTAACCTGATCCTACACAGAAGCCACATAATGTGATTGTGCTTGTTAACTTATCTGTACATACAAGGACTACGTGTTTGCTAATAACTGAATTTCACATACTGTGCTGCCAAAATCAAAGGTTTTAGAAATAAAGACATTCCTTGGTTGTTTTTATTATGTAGGAATACCACATTTGCCTTGGCTACTCATACAATGATGTGAGAATGTGAAAGGCAGGAAAAGTACAGAGAAGACAGGAAAAAAACCCTGAAAGAATGGAAAGCTGAAACACTGTTGTTCCAATTAAAAAAGGGAGGTTCTTCTATGACCTGTTTATGAAACTGCTGGAGAAAGGAACAATTCAAAGGGTCTATGATAACCCATCTTCAAAACAGATTTCACCATTCTTAGGCTTTATAGTCAAAACAGGAAAGAGAAACTGACTTCATGTGTCATGCAACACACACCAAGTAGTTTTTAGCAAAATAAATCTGCTCAGTGACTTTCTAGCCCACTTTGTCAGAAGCTATACTCATTTCACAAACTATAATCCTAGAAATGTCCCATGACAGAAAAAAGACAAATGGAAAACACTGACCTGACAGTAGATGCATGCTCTATCCAAGTACAGAAGCATGACCATTTATTCACAGCTTTTGAAACAGGATTATTTTTCACAGGAATTAGATATGATGTGCATAAACTAAATATAGAAGAGTGCACTGAGATTATACCAGAATAAGAAGGGCAGAAGAGCCTGCTTCAAAAAGTTGAATATACACAAATTCATATGAATTCAGGTGCAGCCTACTTTGTCTAAAAGTCATTGTATCCACACTGACAAATCAAATAGGAATTAATCTTATGCAAGTACAAATCCCTACAGGCTTTCATTGCATCACATAGATTTAATGCACTTTGGTCATTTACAGGCCAGAACCTCAGTAATGCATTCAATTTCCTGATATAAATATCTATTTTTTCCTGCTCTAACTTCTTGACCATGGCCACAAAAACTTGATAGGCATAAATAAAAAAAAAAAGCAAGAACAAAAACAGGAAAGAAAGACAATAAATTATGGAAAAGTAGACTATTAAGTCTACAACCACAGTAACTCAGTAAATACTGTTTTCCACAGGAACACAGAAAAAAGACCTACAGTAAACTGGCATTACCATGAAATATCATAGTTACCTACCAGGCTCAACAGGACTCCTAAAGTGAAGACTTAAATGTTGCCAGACTGGTTTGTTTGTTGTACCTTGTTTTTGTCATTCAAGTCTGTCACTTATTTGTAAGTCTTATGGTTAGCTGGAATAGTGTAGTTATTGTAGTATTTTTCTTCAGTCTATCCAACGTTCTATCAACATGCTAACTTTTCAAATGCTACCTTCAAATTACTGAAATTGGTAATTACTAAATACCAATTTTAAAATTCTCAAACTTTGTAAAACAACTGAAAAGAAGAACAGAACAGCACTAGACATTTAAAAATTGTTTAAAAGTAATAAAAAACTTTAGGAAGTGAAATGGTTTTTCTAGTATGATCACTGGGCACAAGGATGGATGACAAATGCAGCAGCAGACAGAAACATCATGATCAGGGGAAAGGGATTTCTCATTATAAATTCCTCAGTTTCAAGTCTGTTGCCTCAGACAGACAAGATTTGATTAAGCTTTTTTTCTTCAGGAAGGGGCAAGAAGGCACACCACAGATTTATAGACCAAAGAAGAGGGATGGATCAACACACAAGATGAGGTTCCCATAATGGCCAGTGTTCACTAATTGGCCAGGTAAACTGTAACATCTACTGCATTGCAGTAAACATGGAGCTCCAATAGTATTAACAGATACATTAGACAAAGGAACTAATTGTGTGGAACAGAGATAAAACACTCAGTCAAAGTACTAAGAAAAAACTAGATAAACTTGTATTGCAGCTAAAATGTAAATGTAGATAACATACATGCTCAACAAGGTGATTGTCAATTACATAGCTTCCAATTAGCTATTCAATGGACTTCTAATTCTGTATTTACTGATCTTACTGAGGAGAGAATTGTGGTGTTCTTAACACTTTACTATTTAACTAGCAATTTCTTGTGTATGCATTAACATCACTCCTGGTTTTCAGCTTTGTGCACAAGATGAATAGAAAAGCTTCTAGAATCTTACAGTGATTAAGCATTATGTTTCTAGGGGTAAGACCTAACTAGCAGGGACAAAAACAGAGATTCTGAGCTCAGTATGATGGACCCAAAGGTAATACAGCAGATGAGGTGATTCAACTCATAATTTGTTACCGCAGCTTCAGACACAGGCTGAAGCTAAGAAAATGGCCAGCTCAGCCCATGAGTAGTACAGCAGTAAGGGATGGGGATGAGATTCCTGCTGTGCTTCAGTAAGGGAACACAAAAAACTACTTCTAATAGAAAGAGGTTTTAGCAGACTGAAAGCACCTTTATATCTCCATAGAACTAAGTCAGGGCAGCAGCTGTTTCAGCTCCCTGGCTGACTGATCCTTGATGGATTCACGTTTATGTGAACTTGTTCACTTCTGTGTAATTAGAATTTCTTCTAGATTTTTTAGCCTTCAAAATAAAGTCACTAGATTAACAGACATTAAAAACGAAAAAACAACTCACAGATTAGTTTCTGATTCAGTGAACAGCTGAATTCAGAGTTTTTAAAATTCAGAGTTATTTTTCTCTTGTGCACGCCCAGCACACCTTTTCCTATACTCCCTGAATAAGCAATTGATATGTCATCAGGGAAATTCGTAACTGGCAATCAATCAGTGACTCCAGAAAGGTGAGTGAACAATGACATGAAATTCAGACACTATTGTGAACTTCACTATTTTCAACTTTTTTGAGCTGCATGGGTATTACATTAATGACTTTCAATTTAACAGCAGGGTTTTTAACAGAATTTTCACTGTTCATTTAGCACTGCTCATACAATAAGAGACAAAACAGCTGTCAAAAAACTCTGAAGTCTTCCAGCCAAGAAAAAGCAGTGAATATTAGTCTCTGAAAAAAAAAAAAAATCAGACAACTCTGATCATTGTAGTTTAGGCAAAAAAGTTTCCACTACTAAGTAACTACAGCAGCCGGTGAAACTACCTGTCACACTGACACTACACTATCCTAATGTATTCCCAAATAAATATGTTATTGGAACTAAAGGTATGCTTCCCACCATACCACACTGCTCCTTAACTCCACCTTCAAATACCAAATTATGCCTGCCTTACCAATCCCATGGTACAAACTGCTTATTATTGACTAAATTTGTTATGTTTCTGGGAAGCATCTTAATAGGAAGAACCTGAAACAGGAAATATTTTGGTTAAAAGTAAATAAAACAAGTAGGAAAATAATGAGAGATCTTTCTGTGTGAGATTTTGAGATGTGATGAAATGTGGGATTTTCAGTCTCAGCTTGCTTTATTCATCTTTCATTCTCTTCTATTTTGTTGTCAGGCAATGCTAACCTCTTCAATCGCACCTGCAGAAATTCTGTGTCCGGCAACATTGATCACATCATCAGCTCGAGACAGGACATACAGATAGCCATCTTCATCCATATAACCAGCATCCATGGTATCGTAATATCCCTAAATACAACACAATGAAAAATAAATTCAAAAACAGTACTGGTAATACTCATTATTTTACCAGGAAACATACACAAAAAAAATTTTACCTGTTTCACATTATTTATGCTTTTCGTGTTTGAAAGATTTAATTCCATAATATTTGTCATCATTTTTATACAATAGTATCCTGTGCAGCTCCCTTTACAGAAAAAATTTTGTTGTCTTTATTAATAAAGAAGAGAAAAAAAATAGATAAATCCTGACTTTTTTCCAACTCTGCTTACTTTGATCCCTGACAGCTTGGGGAAGGATGTTACCTGAATCTACACAGGGAAAATGGAATTACTGCAATATAATGACAGTTGTCAAATTCCTCCTAAAAATACTCCTGTTTGCTGTATCCAAACATACACTGTCACCATGATGCAATTGCACACTAAAATTAAATCGTGTGACCAATACACTCATTTACTTGCATTGAGCCAAATCTTCTATTTTGAGCATTTGTATAGGGCCAATCTACCTATTTCTACAAGGAAAGAAGTAAACCAATCCTTGGATAGTTCATCTGACAAGGAAACATAACTAATGCAGCAAAGAGCCTCCAGTGTATTCAGATGCACAGTGGACAAATGGCATTTTGCAGTGATATGAAGTTAGCATGGCTGCATGCCAAGAGGAGGAGTGTATTTAAAACTGTGCTAGTGTAAGGTTGCAGGTTTATATCTTTGATTGACATTAAATGAATTTTTGGCTCAAAAGCTTATGGTTTACTTCTTCTGTTTCAGATCTTAAAAAAAAACAACAGCATACCCAAGAGCTGAAATTATAGGTGAAAAAGGATATATCAAAGACCTCCAATGAAATTGTGACAACTTATGATAAACTGTTTCCCAGGTTAAATCTATTATCATTCAGTTCTGAAGCATTACTAGAAGTTTAAATAATCAATTTCATAATTCTTACTGGAAACTTTTGGAAATATAACTTCTGAAATACTTCTTGATTTTCCCAAAGACCTGAGAATGCTCCAGGAGGCAAAGGCAACCTTAAATTGAAAAGAACAGAAGGAACTAGTAAGAAAAACAGATATAACAAATCCAACGCATGCTCCACTCATACTCTGTTTTCAGAAAAATAATCATTGTCTACACAATCAGAAAACAGTTCAGCTTAATAATATGCAGGTAACTGATAAAAAAGGCTGTGTATTATTGTTATCAAATGTATATAGTTCTGCATGGTATCCAGACCTTACTTTTCACATAATACAAGCACCTCAGTAAAATAATATTTGGTCTAGTAAACAATATATACTGTATTATAAATATGTTAACTGCATTTAGCTTTTAACATTTCTCAGGATCTGTTTGAAATTTGTGAATACACGTTATGATACAGGCAACTCCATTATTACAGGTCTCTCTTTCTCTAACACCCATCCACACCCACACATGCATAGACAATGAATTATCAGACACACAGATACTAGTTTCTGTAAAAAGATAAAACTCAAAGGACTTCAATCACAAGAATCTGAATAAAAATACTTTTTGTTTAAACTGTGCATAATACTATTGGAAATACCGAAGAACTTCTGTGAAAATATGTTGATACAAGTCACTAATAGAAGCTTCTAAAATAGTTGTACTTAAAGCTGCAAAATTCTGCATTGCTTTGTTTATTGAGTTTTGAATACATATTAAACCCCTTCTTCAGTCAATGATATGGGAAAGAGAAAATATGGGACACTTCACATACATATCTGTCAGAGGATAAGCTGCAGAAGCCTCAGCTAAAAAAGTGCTTGTCTCTTTCTTCAAAGCTCTGACAGGGTCAAACACAGATTTCTTTAACTGCCTGAGAGATCTATTATTCAGGCATTATTCAGTTCATATGATGCATAGGCATCATATGAACACTAGTTTTATGAAGTTTATCCCTAATAACAGAGGGAGAATGATCATGTAAACAAACCTATTTATTTACATAAAATCATAAATGCACCATACAGATTTTACTAGCATATGCCTGCAGCATTAACTAGCAAGTATTTAGCCAGAGTTATTTTATTTTCTATGATAGTATTCCTGTGACACCAGAAGGCAACATCTCTAGCAGAGAAACAGTTCTCTATAGCATAGCAATTCTAATGTCATTAAAAGTCTGTGATGGTCAGGCAAAAGAACAGGTGCCACCAGCTCTGTGACATGCACATTTCTAACATTACATTTACAAGAAGAATAGTTATAGTTTATATATATATATATGTGGGGAGGGACAGGCAGGGGAGAGGGAGGGAGGGAGAGAAGGAGGGAGAGAGGGAGGGGGAGAGGGAGGGGGAGAGAGAGGGGGAGAGGGAGGGGGAAAGGGAGGGGGAGAGGGAGGGGGAGAGGGAGGGGGAGAGGGAGGGGGAGAGGGAGGAAAACACACTTCAAAAAAATCCTAGCTATGGTAAAACCAGTAAAAATTACATTGAAAAGGTCATATCATCCAGTAATGATTTGAATACCTGTTTTTCTACAATCCTAGTTTTTTCAGCTTAATTCAGGTCAGCTAGCATAATAGAATATACTACTATAAATACTACTGCTTTTTCTCTGAGGGTTCTGGCTCAACACATTGCTTGTAAGTACAGTTAAGGTATGGCCAGTAATGCCAAGACACTTCCCACTTCCCACACCTTCCACCCAGGGTACAGGAGGGCAGGTTGGCCTCTGCCCATCTGGAAGAAATTCACTGCCCTATTTTAAGCCTTTCAAGCTTAGAAAGCGTCTCTGTAATATAAAAACATGACTTGTGGAGTGTTTGCCTTGGAAAAAAAGATTAGAAAAGCAATATATTGATCCTGGTGTTTGTGCATGCATGCGTTTAAAAGGAAAAAAAAAAATCTCTTGTTTAGATTCAAGAAAAGCCACCAGAGAACGGCAGTTACTATGGTTATTACCTGGTTGCTAATAGTACAGCAATTCATAACAGCCTCAGTCATTGCAAATTTCACACTTTAAATTTATTTAGCAGTCTAACATCTTTGTGATGGGAGAGAAAGAACAACTCATATTGATAAAGTCCTTAATTTCCCCACAGCTCTATTCAATACTTTGCAGTTAGTCACTGAATAGCAAAAAAACAGTTTTATTGCTGAAATTGGAAAAACATTTTCCTTTCTGTCATTTTTTAAAAATCTAAACAGAGAAGTGTGGAACATATCACCAAAAATACAACCTTCACTTTCACTATTTTTTTTTCTTGTCCTTGTTTGGATTGGTTTTTTTCAGATGGGGAGACCAGGGGTGTCTCATGTTCTAGTTTGGTGGGGGTTTTTTTGCTTGTTTGTTGAGGCTTTTTTAGGAAAATTGTATTGATAAACACATCTAGAGAGCATATTTTGTGAGTCTGTGGAAACCACACTGCTAAATTAGTGGCTATCAAAGGTATCTCTGCAGGACATAATCATCTGAAAATGTGCTTCCATGGCTTTCTGAGAAAGACTACTTGCAGCTGGGACCCCATTCATCCATTAAGAAAAAAGTGAATACCCTCTTCCATGTGTCAATCTTTCAGCACAATAATTCCAGAGCAATGGGCACATACAATTCTTTGATAAGACCAGTTCTTGGCATCATGACTTAGTAGAATTTCTAGGTTCTGTGCAAACACAAATTAATAAAGGTAGAATTCAGCTTGTCAGAACATAATTATGTGTATTGAAATTTTGTCAGGACATCAGATTTAAAATGTCCAGAGCCAAATAGACCTCCAAACCACTGCTGTCAGTAGGAATGCTGCCATAAATTCCAAAGGGAGCAGAACTGGAACATAATTACATGTAAGGAGGCAGAAGAGAGAAAATGAGACTGTCCAAAAATAACAGCAACCTGAAAACAGACATCTCTTGTTTTTGTCAACACCTCCATAAAAAAAAAAAAAAAAAAAAAAAAAAAAAAAAAAAAAAAAAAAAAAAGGGAACATTTTGAGATGTTTGATTTGGGTCTTTTTGCCCTAGAAAATGTAACACACACCCACAATAACTCAGCATTTAAAAACTGTTGCGTCTCTGTCTAAAAACTGAGTTGATATGAGTACAGATCTGATTACAGATCTTTGGGCAATATTTTTACTAAGAGATATATTGACCAAAAATGCCAGGAATGCATACATAAGCACATCTGCTTTCCTTTCAGAAGGGACAGGATCACAGAAGGCCAAGTCAGGAGTAGGTAGGTTCCTTCATCATCATTTTCACAAAATACAAAGAAGTTGCTTTGCTTGGTTTCCCCTTGGGACATATTTACTGTATTTCTGTAGCTGTCTGTTACCAGCACTGTAACAGCAGTACAAATTATGCTATTCTCCATTTACTCCAGTCAAAGAAAGATTAAAATGGTTCAAGTACAAGAATACAGATCCAAGCCTATTTCTCATTTAAAGGTTGAATTCATTTAAAACAGCAGCAGGGAAATGAGGCAAACTCTGTAAATTAATGATTTAAAACATATGGGTTCATTTAATGAAGATTCATTCTGGTTACATTTTACAAAGATAAGCAGGTAATGTAATTATAAATTGGAGAGACTAAGATGAATGAGTTTGACAGAACCACAAAAAAACTCTGGAGTACTTTAACAGTAACTGTGTTCTGGTACAGAATTTTAAATTACAATTATTACTTGTTTTTTTAAGCGTTGTTTCACAGTTCATTTAGTTTTCATACAACGGTGGTAGACTTTTCAAAGAACAGTCCACCTTTAGCTTAGCCCAAGAAATCTGACTCCCACATAGCACATCCTTTCAGAATGCCACTCATCAAAATGGTGTAAAATTCCTTGTTAATGGAACCAACCAATTATACACCAAAAACTCAAAAGAGAATTTGCACAGAAAACCAGGTTTCTGAAAGGAAATAATAAATTATTGGAGATGTTACCATTCTGGAATTCAGAAAAGACATTATTTTATTTTATAGTAGGTGATGATACTCAGAGGCTATTCATTACAGCCAGCCAAACTAAATACAAGCCACTGTTAAATGAGTTTGGGCTTTTGAATGGAACAAAATAATCTTGACTGGCAGCTATAATTATTTCTCAGCATTTATGTAGGGTTGTGCATAAACATCACTCATAAAAATTTTGACTGCAAGTTTGAAAAGCATCCGGAAGCTTTTTCAGACTCTAGGAACAACAACACAGAAAAAAAGATGAAGAAGAGTAGAGGACCTTGAACATTCATCAGTCTGCATGAAATATTACTTTAGTTAGCTGAAAGGGATTACAAAGGTAGTTGATCTCAGGATGGATTTTGATTTAGAGAGAAAAGAGAAAAAGCCATCAAAAACTAGTGAAAGTGCTTGGAAAAATTTCAAAGTAATGACAGTTCAAATGGTATTTACATGTACTCAGCCAGAGACCTGCTAGAAAAGCTATCTTTAGATAAACTGCTCTCACATTGGAAGACCTACTTATTGTGTTATCTGTAAAGGGAAAAGACAAAGCTGATGAAGATGTAGAAGGCTGTTAGGAAGATAAATCTTTTGCACAGGTTCTTTACTTAAACAGAACTTCTGTATAACACAGGCTGAAAGATACCATCTACTATATCCTGCCTCAACCCCACAACTTTTGGTCAAAACAGGTATCTAGGTTAGGCTCAAAAATATCAAAGTAAGCTACCATAATCTCAATAATTTATTCCAATGTCTTAATACTTTCACTGCTAAAACAGTGCTTTATTTGTCACCTGAATGCATCTAGCTTCAGCTTCCAATTACTTTATGCTAGATTAAAGAGCCATCTCTCAGAGATTTTTTTTTTTCCTGGCCTTGAAAAGGTTACTATTTTACTGATCTTGGGTGAATTACATACCACAGGTTTTCATACTATGTGGATTCTAGCACTCAAGTCACTCTCATTCTTTTTTTCCCCAAAATCCAGTCACTTTCTCAACAGTCCTCTGAAATACAGTCATAAGAACCAAGCATAATGGATGTACTAACATCACATCCACATACAGCAATGTTGGCTCCTCTTCAGTCTTCCTACTGAATAACAAGGAATCATATTGTCTGCAGTTACACTAGCAGCTACCCTTCATTCAAAGATCTGGTGTACCTAGAGGTTTATCCACTGTAACATAAAAAGCTCCTTTGAAAGTCACTGCTTTCTAGGGCCCTTCATCTTATAGATCTAGCAAATTTTCACTTTACCTAGCTGTACAGCCCTTGCTTACAAGAACACATTGTTATTGCCTCTTTTCTTCCTGGGCAGTGGGAGAGGACAGAGAGCTGCGACTTTTCCCATGGGTATATCCCAGCTGGATTGACCAAATGTTGACTCATCAAGTCTTACAATATCTTACTTCAGTTTTTTTAATTAAATACCAAGGTACTACAGTGTGCTGCAAAAGATTACATCTTTTTCTTTCCCTTTTCTTTCCTTTAAGCTCTCTTGGTTAGCATTCTACTGAGCATTAGAACAATTACAATCCTGGCTTCATGTTGCTTCATCCGTTCACACTGGCTATTTTTAACGCATTTTAAGAAATATTGAATAAGTAAGCTCTTTATTGAACACTTATTTGCTCATTAAATACTGTATAAATATTAAACACATCACCACAAGTAGGAAAACTGTCAATGGGTTGCCTATTTTGAATAACACCTTTTCTACTAAAGGATATGCAGTTTAAGGTATTTCTTTGGAAGTACAGTCATATTTCTCTTTGGCTAACTTATAATGTATAATCATAAAAAGCTGTGAATTTATCCTCACTATTTCCTTATAAATACTATTTAAAATTTATCATGAATAAATATTTATTTATCATGAATAAACGTATTTTAGTTTCCACAGTACTGTACGTAAAGTTTTGTGTGATTGCACTCAATACAATGGAATGGGTAATCATTCCAAACATTCTATTTTAGAACATTTTGCTTTTTCTTCCTCTTCCTTCACTAATTCCAAATCCACAAAAAAAAAAAAAATTCCACAACATTAGTAGTTTACAGAGCCTCTCACACAGCCATTTTTCTTAAATGCAATTAAACCAATGCAACTAAAGCATTTCAGAATCACTGTATGATATAACTACATTGCTTCACCTCCTGCTGGATATGGAACATATTTATGTTATTCCATGCAGTGCAGATTGCTAAAGCAAACTTGTAAACACTTACCCTGCAAAACTCCACTATCATGGTACAAAAATAACTACATAAACACTAGAGGAAGTGTAACTAGGGTCTCGCAGCAAATTTACTGGCAGTCACTACTCTCTGGACAGAATGAGCATGAGGCAAATGTAGTCCTGTTGTACATGAATATAAAGAATAATGCTAGCTAATGAGACAGTGCTGATGACTGCTTAAAAAAAAAAACGTAATTGGTTTGTGATATTTTCAATGTATAAGACAAAACCTGGAATTTACATGGGATTTCTCCTTGCTAATGTTCCTTATAACAACAGACAACCTAGAAAATTCTTATGGCTAATCAAATTTACATATATACATACAAGTATGTACATACAAGTATATTTTCAAGTGTGTATTAATTATAGGCAAGTAGAAGTGTGTCACTAAACCAGACTAGTCTTGCTAATGGAAATGGAAGTCACTGCTGCTATTATTTTCATTTCAGAATAAATTCTCAGAATCTTTCATGTCCAAAAATTCTAGCTCAGAAAAAAATATATATACATTTAAAAACAATTAATACAATCCCACCCTCATAATTTGTAGTTACCATTATTTTCCCTTGTCCTTCTATCACACTGCTTTCAATTATTTAAGCCTGAAAGACTTGTGAAATCAGAAATATTACTGCAGAGTCCAGGTAAACTACTATGTATGAGAACTCTTATCTAAGAATAATCTGTTCAAAGGGCAGAGATGATGGTTATATGGAAAAAAAAACAGGACAGATATCAGTGGGTAGAAAAGTAAAGAACATACTTGGGACAGCAAGTTGGAGTAATTAGATATAAGAACTGCTTTTCTAGAGTATTTGACTCCTGCAGGATGAAATTAAAATTTAAAGCTCTGCTGTAAGAATAGATATTTTAAATACTGTACTTAGGAAAACTGCAGGCCCAAGCAGCCCCAAATAGTCTTTACCAGAATTAGTCTAGGATAAAAACAACCAAGAGCTGCAGTTTACCACTTCACAACTCACCTATGCTACAGGTGAAGCAAATCCCTGTGTTTTTTCATATCTCACTACTGATGGTATGACAGAATAATAGTCAGAACTATCCTGAGTTCCCCATTTTCTTCCAGCTGCAGGGGGACATGCTCTGGGCTAACAAACAAGCACTGCTAGTAACAAGGATCATCTCCACTACTTTAAAGGGTCTGTACATGTAGAAGACTGCTGAAGAGAGAAATGCCTTCTTTGAAGAAGGAGTTCATGAAACCTTGCTTTAATAAAAAAAATAAAATAAACAACACAATAAACATAGACATGATAAAATAATAGTATCCCTGTGGGATTACACTTTCTTGAGTGATATGCTACCAAAAAAAAAAAAACAAACAAAAAAACTCCCTCTTTTCATTATCAATTTATTTGATTGCAGCAAAAGTCATGCTGAGCAACATAAACAAAACAAATGAAACAACAAATGAATATATTAACACATTTGTAATCCCTTGAGAAAACATCTAAATGTGGGGCAGCATTAGGGAAGATAAATTCTGACTAGAAGAGGTAAACATGAATCCCAAACAGAATCTTCTAATATGGCAATATCACTCCTGACAGGCACTTAAAGTTAGTAAAACTCAAAAATGTATGCACACATATTGCAACATTACCTGTCAGTCTGTCTTTCAACTTGTTTGGCAGAGCTGCTAAAGATGGAGTTCATTCCACCCCACTCTTGGTAGATAAGACTAAGTACCTACCCTAAGCCAACTGTGCCACTCCTGCAGGCATTGGAGAGACATGAACACGTATGGAAGGTGATTTATTCCATCCTAGTTGAATAACTAGGCATGAACAATATAATGAATAATAACTAATCTGAATATCTAAGCAGCTAGGATCAATTTTCTTTCAAAATACCTTTTCTCTCTCCATTGATTACAATCCTGAGTTTTATTATGGCTTCAGGCACTACAGAGGTGAGAGCTTTTTCTGAAAGACAGTTTTCCACTCTGAGCTGAGTTACTGATATTGAGAACCAAAGTAAATAAAAGGTTGGAGCAATTTTAAGTACTTGTGCTTTGTGTGAATGTACATACTCAACAATGGAGTGAATGCACAACCTTATATGTGTCTCAAGAAAACTACACCTAAATATGAATCTGCTGACTTGGGGGAGTTAAACCTATGCCTCTGTGTCCTGGTGCCTTAGCTGAAGATGCTGAGAATGAGGCAGGGTATGGACTTCATCCTAAAAACACACATCTGCATCACACAGTACAATAAATTAATGTGGTATTACTTTAGTCTCCACAGGGGTCTAGTTACATATCATCAGTGGTACAGCTGAGTAAAAAGCCTCCCCACCTCGGCAGCTCCACCTCCCACACAAGCACTGCGCCAGCCCATGCAGATTGTTGGCACTGCATGTCTGCAGCTCCCGCGCCTGTAGCTCCTGTCTCTCACCCCCAGCTGGTGCACCTCAGCCAACTGCAACCTCAGCTAACTGTGCTAACAATTCATCCAAATTGGTACATCCATCCCAAAGCTTCAGCTTTTGACAGATTTGCAGTTCACTGAAGATTAGTATTAATCTTTGCACTTTCTTTCATTCACCTAAGCAAGTAGTGAAGACTCTAAGCTACCACAACTCTCCAAAAAGCTACCACAGAAGAAATGGATGAATACATTTCCTTTGGGACTTGCTCACAGTTAGAAAGTTAGAACGTGTTCAGAGCTTTTTTTTCTGTGACTGAAAAAAAAGGTGGGTACAGATACCACATTCATCACAAAGCAGGTGTCTCTCTCTGAGGAATAAAAACTCTGAGGAAAATTCCATTTGCCTGAAAAAATCCAGAATACAGAGCTGGCGTGGGCTGTAAAGAGCACTAGTCCATAGAATACTACAGGAGTAAGGAAAGGTCCTGGCAACAGTGAGAAGGCAGCAGGCCAGACAAATGTAACTGATGTTCACAAAGTGATCTAAACAGAGGCCTTTTTAGCTAAGGAAATGTGCCAAGAAAGGTGTACCTTCAAAAAGAATATTAGAGTTTATGGAACTCATCTGTCAGGAGTCTGGTAAATGGTACTAAAAATCACCTACATGATGCACAGCAGGGTTTTTTGACTTTTTTTTTTCCTGAAGTCCTTTCCTGAATGTATTTTGTCCAAGTACTGGTCCAAATGAACACTCTTTCATGCAAAGCACACACAGAAACATCTTTCTTTTTTTTTACAGAGAACAGAAAATACATGTTCTCCCTCTAAGAAGGTGCATCAGTTGGAATTAGGAGATCATGAAAGAAGAGGCAGCATCACACCTGTAAGCCGAAGCATACCAATCTGTACTGCTGTACTATTTCACTAAGTGGAAAGATAAAATAGTGAAGGGAATGATTCAGTATCGTAGTCATACATTAAAAGAGGAAGGCATCATTCTGTGCCAACACTGATAATTAAGAAAATGGTAAACTTTGCTGTAGTCTAAGAAAAACTCATTCATTCACACAACTTTGTCTGCAATTTTTCAACACTAATGAACATAAAACAGTCAGGTAGTTTGGTATCAGTATCAGAGACAGACAGACATACTTTTCAATCTTCATTTTTATGAAAACTTTAGTCAAAAGACAATCAACCCATGTAGGAAGTTTCCTTTAACTGTATAATATTTCTTTTTCTTACTTTACCACAATATTTCCCAAAGTCTTTGCCTTCACTGGTTTCATATTTTCATCCAGAATCATGACTGTAAAAAAATAATATAGGAAGGAAACTCAAATTTAGTAGTGTATTTTTAGGTGAAGAAAAATGTCTTTCTTTATGGATATCAACCCATGTCACACTTCAGAATGGCAATACACCAAGCAACAGAAGGAATTAAGTAATTTGGGAGTGCCAAACTGGATAATCTCATGACTTTATTAACATTCAGCCTTAAGTACAAGAAGTCTTAAATAATACTTGTGCTTTGGAAGCAGAAATAGCACAAAGTCCCAAAAGTGAAAAACACAGAACTAAAAAGTAAAAGAAGCTTTCATTCTGGAAAATCTTAACTTCTACATAGCAAAGAACCATTAAGATACATGACAAACATAAATAAAAAAATATGTGGGTGACATGAGCAACAAATAACAACTAAGATGACTGAAGTCTAACCCAGTTCATGTGAGAAATACTTCTAGCAGTAAATAAGTATATCTGGTTTTCAAAGGCTCTCCGGCGTCTCCAAAATATGTCCTTCAGCTAACGAGGTTCATTATAGTCTAGCACAAAGAGATCAAGAAACTCTTGAAGTACCCAAAGCTGCACAGCAGGGTAATGCTCTAAGTACAGGACAGAATCCAGACTTCCCAAATGAAGCCTTTTCCCTGGATAACAGGGGTCCACCACCTTCAGTGAAAGCATCATAGCCTAATTCTGAGATTTCTGAGGAAATCATCTGTAATAGCCTCTTTTGTGCAGTTATCTGGGAAATGAAGCTACTACAACCATCCGTTCCATCTCAAGGTGTGGGCATAAGAAAGGAATGACAGATACCACCTTGGCCTGTGATAATGAAATTACATAAGGTGAAGCAACTAAACCATAGAAAAACAGGGAGGGAAGATTTTGACAGACTGGGCTGGTAAGAATTACACGCTTTTTTGAAGCCTGCCCAAGAAATGAAAGCAATGTTCAGCTGTATCTAAATCTCTACAAATAGTCTTACAAAGTCAGTTTACAAAGTTCCAGACGAAATTGGGAAAAGTGGATGACAGACTTCTGACTAAAAGTCTGCTAAAACCTACATGAGTAATATCATATACTATCCCTTCAAAGACAACCAACATCTGTAATTTACTCCTGGCTGAAGCTACTCCTTCGAAGATGATGGTAATTTTAAAGTAACTGAAGAGCCTGCTGGAAGCAATGGCTCTGCACAGAGACACAAGCAAGTACACAAGGCCAGTTTTATAAAGACTCGCTTGTGTAGCTGTCAGAGTTTTCTCTCCTATTTTTATGATACTAAGTAAAATCTAATCAGCTTACTGTATCTGTTCCATCAAGGTACCAATCCCAGTATTTAGTCTTCTCCTTGCAAGCTTACATATTTCAATGTAGAAACATTTGGGGAAGTAAGATACTATGCTGCTCACTTCTGAATTACTGAAGAACTGACTTGTTTCTTCAAAATGTGGCTTCAGTCTTAAAATGTATTGCAATTACCTGCAAAGGTTCAAGTAGATCAAGGGAAAAGCACAGTATAATGTCTGAATAAAGTCAACAGACCTAGAAATTAATACTGTATCTTGACACACTTAAATGCAATTTGTGCCACTACACTTTTATATCGTAACTTTTATTCCCTTTGTTTCTTTTTACCAATATGTAATAGGAAAGAGTTTACACATGTTCAGAAAAAAAAAAGTAGACCTTGCAACTTCCTCTTTATATTGCAGCATGTCTTTACGAGCCATTTAGAGTTGCATGTATAAACTAAAACCACAATATCTTCTAACTGGCATAAGGATCTCCTCTATTAAATCTAGTAACGTAGGAAAACAACACCAATCAGAAGAGGATGACAGCAAGACAACAGCCAAACTAGAGTAATTTTTAAAAAATCACTAGTTTGTGAATAGCTGCATTACAGGACATATTTGGTCAAAGACTGAAAAAAGTAAAATTATTCCATAAATCTTTAGTGAATTTCAGTGCTTGTTTTCTATTTCCTTTATACAGTATGCTAAAGACATTTCCATCATTCTCTTTGAAGAAAATCATTACTTACACTAGTCCCAATGTTCCAATTTATTGGTCAGAAATTTTTATATACTTGTTACTCATATTTTTTCCTACTCCTGACTATCAGCTGATAACATGTGTGATGCAATTACATTCTTTCACCTTTCCTACTTATTAAAACTCTGGAGAAACTTCATGGCTTTGTTTTAATGTTGTTTATAAGCTATTTCTCATCTTCATGCCATAACTGTAAGTCAAAATCAAGAGCTGCTAAAAACATTTGAAGTTTTTTTTTAATGCTCACCACCACTAATACCACCACTAATATGTATTAGAAGAAAATAACAGCTTAGATCTTTCTGACCAATGATGTGAGAACTTTTTCTGAAGATCACTTGATCTTTAATGTAATTATTTTTCAGATATCAAGTAACTCTTTAAAACTGTGTTAAAATCAGGGTTCCCAGGTATTAAAATACTTCTGCATTCTTAATCCTGTTGCTGCAACCCTACATGCAAATACCTTCCAGACAATGAGTTCTCATCTTTTTTGTGCTGGTCCATAGCCTACTGTTTCTCCTGCCCGGAAATAAAAACAGTTCCACAGGTACTGAAAGACATATTGCTTAACAACTCTCTCAAGCTGCGCAGAAGTGCAGAAGTGCATGCAGAAGTCTAGATGAGTAATATGTCAAAGTATGTGCTAGACTTTTCATATAATAAAGGCAGAAGCAGTAAATCAATTTTCTTGAAGATTACTCTGAATTTTTTATTCACAATCACATTCTATAACACTCATGAAAGCAGGAAGGAGGAAAATATCTTAGTAAGACTGTAATTTTATTTTACTACAAGATATGACAATTAAAGAGCACTTATTCAGGAATACAAGCAAAGGCCTTTCCTAGTAACATTTTTAGCACAGTCTTACCATTATATCCTGGCACTGGTTTTCCTGCCTGTCCGGGTGGAGGTGTTGTAGAGTTCCCCAAACCAATGCAGGAAGCCGTAATTGCAGAACCAGATTCTATTAAGAGAACACACATACAGTCAATTAAAGCTGGTTTTAGTTCCATTCTGTATTTACTAGTTCTAATTTTTATGATGCTCAGCACATCAAAATATTTTTTAAGAATTTCTAGACAAACAATGCAAGATTTAGAATTCACTGAATTGTAGAATATGCCGTGTTGGAAGGGACTTCTAGATATCACTGAAGTCCAACTCCTGATCCTGCACAGGACACCCCCAGGAAGCACACCATGTGCCTGAGAGCATTGTCCAAACACTTCTTGAACTCTTGTCAGGCTTAGTGGTGTGACCACTGCCCTGGGGAGCCTGTTCCACTGCCCAACCACCCTCTGGGTAAATAGCCTTCTCCTAATATATGACCTAAACCTCCCTTGGCTCAGTTTCATACCATTCCCTTGAATTCTGTCACTGGTCACAAGAGGGAAGAGATTGGCACCTGCCCCCCTACTTCCTCTTGTGAGGAAGTTGAAGGCCACAGTAACGTCTCACCTCAGTCGCCTCCAGGCTGAACAGACCAAGTGACCTGAGCTGCTCCTCATACAGCTTCCCCTCAAGGCCCCTTACCATATTTGTAGCCATTTTTGGGACTCTTTCCAAAGCTTTATCATTTTTATATCATGGCACACAAAACTGCCCCCAGCACTCGAGGTGAGGCTGCTCCATGTGCAGAACACAGCGGGACAATCCCCTCCCTTGCCCAGCTGGCGAGGTTGTATGGATGCCCCCCAGGATGTGGGCGGCTCCTCCTGCTGAGAAGCACACCAGTCCTCATGGGATCCTCCACTACTTGTGTCAGAAAGCTGTCATCAATGCTTTCCAGTAATGCTGACACCTTCCTAATCATCCCCACAGTTAAGCAGCTTCCCTCCTCACCTTCCTCTCTTTCCACATAACATTTTTATACTACCAGAGTTATCATAGAAGAATAAATACTATCAAGTCATATAAAAGAGAGTCTAAGACTGAAAAAAGCCCAGTTGCTCTTCACTCTTCCCCTCTAAGTAAACAATCTACAGAAAATACTTTCAAATGCTGCTGTAGCTCTGAGCCATAGAAAACAAAGTGTAGGTGGTTTTAGATATTAGCAGGAACACAGAATGAGACTTTATTTTAAAAACATGACTTTATCATTCTGAAGATGTCTCAGGTCACTTGGCCTGGAATTTACAGTCCATGCCACCCAGAAAACAAAGCAGTTTTGTCTCCAGCTGTGTATGTATATCTAATCAGTATGTTCAAACCTATTTTCAGTATACTTCCATCAGAAAATTAAAGTAATTTTTGCTGTGATTTTTTGCAACCTCCATAGCATTCATCTTCCACTTCAGAAGTTGTTATGTGACTATTCAAGTGCTTAAATAAGCAAAAACAAAAACAAACTTACAGACTCTTATAGTGTTTTTACAGTAGGTGTTAGTAAGCAGCTGAAAGCTTAGCATTTACAGCACAGCTGAACTAGGGCCTAAATACAACTGTGGGACACAGAATAAAAATCATCAACCCTCCACACTAATGAACACAGGCTAAAAGGTTTGCTTTGTTGTATCCTAATCTTTCCCCACTCCATCCTGTACTTAGTGCAAATTCCCTGCACAGTCGTGGGGAAATCTTTTCTTCTAACATACAGAACACCCAGCCTACAGTTACAGTGATGACAAAATATCAAAATTATCTACCATACCCCATCTGTGATCACACTGAGCAGCTGTAGAAAAACAAAATGTATTCAACAGTTTTGGAGCCTTATTTTCTGCACAGTATTTATACTGAAGGATTTTCCTCTTTTACTTGGAACAGAAGGAACAGTGAATTGGTAAAGACAGTAGAATGGAAGCACGGTGTACATGTTGCTTTACATACTGCACAGCAATAGATACAAAAGACACTGCAGCAGATCAGGCAAGAACAATAGCCTCCTATCACCAAAACATAGGAATTAGGTTTGTTACTGAGAGACGGGGAACACAGCACCACCATTGGTGTGGACTGGGAATTGACAAGCATTTCTCATCAAGAGTCTCAATCCAAAGACCCTAAGGGGAGAGGAAGAATTACTGAAAATTAGTTTGGGTTTGCCTGACTCTCTAATACACTGCTAATTAAATCAACAGAAACTTGAAAGGAAACTTCATTGTACTAACTTGTCTGGTTTTTTACCTGCTTTTTGGACAACAGTGACTAAGCCTGAATGAAAGTCCATTTATTCTGGAGAATCACAAGTTCTAAAACTTTGTGAACAGGTCTTTGAAAGTGTTGCTCTTTCTTCTATTGTCTTTTCAATTATCAATGGATATGTAATTTCCATGTTTACCCAGCGTGCTAATCTCTAAACCATACATTCAGTTCCCATAGGCCAGTAAGACTTTTTATATACATGGAAAAAAATATGGGGCTTTTGGTACTTGGTCATATAATAATTCAGAGAGGGAATCCCAAAAGCATCTGCTCTTTAGGCTAGTTAACCGTTCCTGAATGCTAAGGATTCCCTTTCAATATAGACTCACAAAGGAGCACTATCACAGGACAGCATGAATCATTGTGCTGCACATATCTTGGGAAATCAACATGTATCTTTCAAAGAGGATGCTGGATTGAAATATCAATTTCCCAAACCTATTATGAAACAACAGCCTCTTTCTAGGATAGTTTTTTCTATCACCAAGAAAACAGTCTGAGTTGAAAGGGGAATTCAATTCAAAATCCTCCTGAGAAGAAATCATCACTGTTCAGAAGAACACAGGATTTTAAGTGTTATTTAAAAGAGATATTTTCCTTAACAATTATGAGTAATACAAATACTGTGTGGCCCTTTATTATAGATTTCCAAGAAATAAAGTTGCTTATGAATCATTGGTTTCAATTAAGTTTGGTTTCTTTACAATTCAATTCAGGATCTATGTGCAGGTTACAAGATTCATGTCTGAAAAGTTGAAACAGCAACAGTCTGAAGAAGGATAACACTTGTCAAGTGTACATTGTATTCCACCCATCCCTTAAATCAGGTTTCTGCATATACAAACAGACATCCCTTACCCGACACTCATTTGTTTATAATTGAAGATTCCCTGAAATTAAGGCACAGCACTTAGAAAGATTTCCAGTGCTGAAGACTTTAGGAACTTCCATATTTTTAATGCAAGGAATGAAACAGTTTGTCTTGTCTTACAGTCTCTTTCGCGAACTTTTGCACATTACTTGTCCACTCACTAAGCTACCTAGTTAGGTAGGCTGTGGAAGGCTTTTCAGGGACAACCACATCATAAAATCAATTTCCTTTCCGCATAACACCTTAAGATGTGACAATAAAACAGCTATTTAGAAGAGCAATGTTTTATACTGGGAGAACAATGTTTCAGAACTAGTCTGGTAAATGTATTCAACATCTGCTCTAAGTTATAATGAAAACAATATGGTGTATCTCTGAGAATAATGAAAAGCACTTTATTGAGACAGAGAAGACAGAGTTACTGAGAGATGGCCATAAAATCAAGTATCCCAACTCCCTCCTTATGTTTCTTCTTTTCAGAATAAGGGCTAATGTAAAGAAATAATCCTCAATAATCACAGATGTGACCTTCTTTGTTTTGTCCCACTCTACCACTAAGTGAGTGATACTATTATAAAGCTATTTCAATATTATTGAAATATCCAGTATAAATCAGACAGCTAATGAGTAGTCTGCTATATGAACTTTTTTGCATTTGCACCTTGGAAAACAATTCTTATGCCAAAGAAAGTGCTGCTGATCCAGAAGCAAAAACTGCACTCTTCTATGAGTAGCCAGGGTAGTCTGTGACCTTATTAATCAGAAAGCTTCCACCTACCCATATGCCTGATTTGCAGCAGCTGTGTTCTGCCAAGTTATGCAAAGCAACACCTAGTAGCTTTTGTGCTCAAAACTCTTTCTCATTCACAGTCAATGGTCAAGTTCAATCAAAAACAACAGTTTTGAAATAACTCAGGACTTTCAAGATGAAAATCAACTTATTTACTCTGTGCCACTTACATTCCTGATACACTATGATTTCTAGACTATGTCTCATATTCCTCAACATAGTAGACTGCCATGCTGTTGAAATATTGGCTTTTTTGGTAGGAAATACTTAGGCAAAACACACTGTATTTGGTATGAATATTTGAGCTTGGGCTGTGCTAAGTTGGTAATGTAAAGCTGTCTGCTTTGAATTTCTTAGGATGCAATGGAGAGACACTAAAAGCATACAAAATAGGTAGGAAGTTCTTATGTAGCAGAAGGAAAGAAGAAAAAGGAGCAACTGTCATACATTAACATATTAATGAATGCAATAAATATAATACAATACACAAAATTCTCACTGTAGCTATGCTGTTCTGAACCATTCTTCTGGCAAAGCTGCCACTTTTGATGTGGGGAATTAAAGGAATTACTACAGCAGCAGACTGCACTGATAAAATGGAAAGGAGAGTCTATGAAGCAGGAAAGCTTAGGCAGCAACTCATTACAAATCCACTCACACCACAAGAATGTACCTCTGAAGAGACTCCTTCCATATGCTGCCTCCACACTGCCAGAAAGGGTGGATGAAGAATTCAATAAAGTCACAGCAAAATTATTTTTAGTATGGCAACAACTACTGGGCATTTTGGAACAGAAAACCACAGTACCAGATGAATTACAGGACTCAAAATTTGCATCATGCTGTTTCCTTAAAATAAAACTCAATCTAATACATCACAGAAACAGTATGCACTGGCAGTGTCCTGAAGATTCAGGGGCCAGATCACCAAGTATTCATATAGACCTCATTTCCTTCATCCTTCAGCATACAACTGCACAGAGGACAAAAGTCAGTTTCCCAGTCAGTCCTTTATCGCTAAAAGCCAAGCAAGCCTCTAAGACTCTAACTGCAGTAGCAGTAAGTAGCCTCACTCATAGCTTGGATTTAGCACTGTTAACCCTGACAAATTGTGTCTAGATAGTCACGCTGCAGGTTGGTAGCCCAAGCACCAGTCCAG